CATTGTTTGGAGATGATATGATCGAGGCTCCTTTGCTTATGCCGGGGGTAGCCTGATTAACCGGTTTTTTTTGAAGTATTTTCGAAGTATTTGAAGGCCTTTAATTTTATGGCGGCGGTTGGACGTCTCCGAGCCACGTTAATTCGGTCGGAGTCTTTTGATACGACCGTAGTCTTGATGTTCGGCCGTAGCCTTTAGTCCCCGGATGAGATGACCTCGGCGTCTATATCGAGGGTATGCCTTTTTAGGGGTCTTACAAGTTCAGATATATAGCCTTGGCCTTACTATCGGGGTTATGCCTTTTTAAGGTCTTATAGGTTTGGGCATGCCTCGTTGAGGTCTTACAGATTTGATGTTGCCTAACTGAGGGCTTACAAGCTTGAAGTGCCTGATCGAGGTCTTATGAATTGGAGTTTTCGATGGCTCGATGAGCTGACTGTCGATGACAGTCCCCGAGTGTTCGAGAGTTTTTGGCCCTTGAGCCGTCTTATGAGAAAGTAGTGAACTTCTTCGAGGCACAAAGTGTTTTGATAAGCAAAGAGGCTTCCTCAATTACTTGATATATGCGTACATGTTTTTTGCCTTTGGAGGCTCGATTATTCTACATGGACACAGTTCATTTGACTGTTTGGCCCAATACAACATTCTCCTATCGAGGTCCTCCTAGGCATAGTTCAATTTCTTCCGAGAGGTGACCTCCCGGGGTGATGCCCCCCAGTATTTGAGGTTGATCGAAGAGAAGCCTTGAATACTTGATGAGTTCTCCTTAGGTAGCATATGGATGTTGCCTCGTTAAAAACCTCGCCGGTAAAACCCGTTTGGGATAAAACCCGATCTAAGGGAAAAAGAGCGCAACGCATGCTTTAAAACCCAAGGTCTTCGAGCTGGAGGGTGCTTCGATTCCTTAGCAATGATAGCGTTCGAGCCTCGATACGTTTCAATTGCTTGCTCCGAGGACGCGGCACGGTCCTTTATTCACTCATTCGGATGTAGCCGAGAATGTCGGTTGTGGTTGCTACTTGGCTGTTTGCTTGTCTTTAGGCTTCTTCGATGTAGAGGGCGTCGATGCCGGTGCCATGTCGTGCACCGCGAACATCTCTCTTGCTGCATGCTGCTCCCCGTACACTGCTTTTACTCCATCCTTGGTTGGAAATTTCATCATTTGATGAAGGGTTGATGGCACTGCCCTCATACTGTGCATCCACGGCCTTCCAGGTAAGGCATTGTATCTCATGTCACCTTCGATGACATGAAACTTGGTATCTTGGATTGTACCGGCCACGTTGACCGGGAGGATGATCTCCCCTTTCGTTGTCTCGCTCGCCATGTTGAATCCATTGAGGACTCGAGAGGCGGGTACGATCTAGTCGAGCAGTCCGAGCTGCTCCACCACCCTTGACCTAATTATGTTGGCCGAGCTACCTGGATCCACGAGCACACGTTTAATTTGAAATTTATTCAAAAGAAAAGAAATTACCAGTGCGTCATTATGAGGCTGAGACAAGGTCTCGGTGTCCTCTTCGCTGAATGTGAGAGCATCCTCTGGTATGTAACACCGAGTTCGCTTTTCCCTGGTGATGGATATTTTCGTCCGCTTGACAACGGGTCCCTGTGGGGCGTCGACCCCTCCAATGATCATGTGTATGACGTGCTGTGGTTCTTCTAGTTCGTTCTTCCTGTTCGCCTCTCTTTTTCGAAATTGGTTTTTAGCTCGGTCGCTGAGGAACTCTCGAAGGTGCCCTTCGCTGATCAGTCGGGCTACCTCTTCTCGAAGCTGTCTGCAATCCTCGGTCCTATGACCGTGAGTGCCGTGATATTTGCATACCAAGTTAGGGTTCCTCTGTGAAGGATCTGACAGTATGGGTTTTGGCCACCTGGTATCTTTGATTTTACCTATGGCTGATACGATGTCCGAAACATCGACGTTGAAGTTGTACTCAGATAGCCGGGGTGCCTCTACCGACCCAGTGTGCCTATCGAAACCGGCTTTAATCATGAGTCTCCGGGAACTTTGACCTCGATATGTCCTTCAATCGCCTCGAGGTGTCTTACGCCTCGAGGCATTTCTTCGATCTTCTACATACGGCTAGTATCTTTCCTTGTTTGGTGTCGACTCTCTTTCTGTAAACCATTGTTCCTTTGTTAAGATCCTGCTAGGATATACTGAGCCCGGGGGGCTCCTAATTGGTCGTCTTCGACCCTGATCTTTGATTGATACCTGTTGTGCACATCCGCCCAGGTTACGGCGGGATATTCGATCAAATTTTATTTTAGCTGCTTCAAAGCTACCGAGCTTCGTTCGTTCAAGCCCTGAGTGAATGCCTGTACTGCCCAGTAATCGAAGACTGGTGGTAATTCCATTCGCTCCATCTGAAAGCGAGATACAAATTCCCTTAGCATCTCGTTTTCTCTTTATTTGATTTTGAAGACATCGGACTTCCTGGTGGCGACCTTGATGGCACCAGCGTGTGCCCTCTCAAAAGAGTCTGCCAACATGGCAAATGAATATGGAATTCGGGGGTAGGTTATGATACCACATCATAGCCCCCTTTGACAGCGTTTCTCCAAATTTCTTCAACAAGACGGACTCAATTTCGTCATCCTTCAAGTCATTCCCTTTTACAACACAAGTATAAGCGGTAATGTGCTCATTGGGGTCCGTGGTCCCGTTATACTTCGAGACATCGGGCATTCTGAATTTCTTTGGGATGGGCTTCGGAGTCGCACTTGATGGGAATGGTTTCTGTACGAACTTTTTTGAATCTACGCCCTTCAAAATTGGGGGTGCGCCCGGGATCTGAACGGCCCTCGAGTTATAAGTCTCCACCTTTTTATCATTAGCCTCTATCTTCTTTTCTCCTGATTCAATCCTTTTGGTGAGGTCCTCGAGCATCTTCATAATAGCGGGGTCTGTTGTTGACTCGTTGTTACTCGATCTCTCTAGTGCCTGCTCGACTCGAGAAGCCGTTTCCGGTGCTGCTGTGCTTGGAGTTTTTTGTTGACTTTGTAGCTGAGCAATAGCCACTTGTTGTGCTTGCAACATCTCAAAAATGACTTGAAGGCTAACTTCTCTTTCCTCCCGAGCTGAAGTCCCCTGTGCTTCATGTTGGTTTTTTCCCGCGCACACTTCCGTCGGTATGAGAGCTTACATCGACATGCACAGCGTTGCGTGAGCCCACGTCGACGGGGATTTGTGCTGGTGCCACCCCTGGGTTTTGCGGTGGTACACCGGCATCTGCACCGTTCTCTCCATGAAGCCCAATACCGTTATTTTCGTGTGCATTTGCTGAGTTAGACATTTTTTGACTTGAAATCAAAGATTCTTGGACAAAAAAAGTGTGAAGAATAACTTGTGTTTTCAGAAAACTAGCACCAAAACAATCACTATTATTTTTAGCCCCACGGTGGGCGCCAAACTGTTTACCTTGAAAATGGTATTAACAATTATATTTGATTGTATGGTTCTAAAAATATGTGATTTATTTCAATACTAGTTGTTAGGCAATAGATGCTGAGTGTAAGTAAAGAGAAACAAGATATGCAAACCAATGTTGTTGCAAGGCTGGGCCTCGAGCTGGCTGGAACAGGGGCTTCGAGGCCTAGTTAGGGCAGTTAGCAATGAACAATTGATGAAGAAACAATGATAACGAAGGCCTTGAAGATAGCCTTTTGCGGTTAATAATGGGCAATAAATGAAGAACAATAAATGAGCAATGAATGAACAAGCAATAAATCTATAGAGCAATTGCTGAACACGTTTAGGCAAGAAAAGCAGAGAATGTTCTATTGTATTCAATATTTATCTGTTTTACAAAATGACAAAGGTCCCCTTTATATAGGAGGGGAGAATCCCAACATAGTACATTCTAATAATGACGAGGAAATGCTATTGGTACAGCTGTATAATGGCTCAGTACAGATTTGTACTATTCTTGCAGACTTGGTCAGCTCTAACCACGTATCCTTGGGAGCTTTCCCGCCTTTCCATTACGATCATCGATTTGTACTGCTCCGAGATTGACCACAATGAACCTTCGATATGTTCCCTCGAGAACGCACCTCGAGGTCACACTTCAAATTCTGCTTCGAGCTTCTCGAGGTCGGGCGTGGAGTGTCACAGTAGCCCCAAAGTCGAACTCCCCAATTTTGGCCGCATACATATTGGCGGTGCTATTAAAATGAGTTTATCGACTCGTCATCAAGTACTTAATGAGAGTGATTTGCATACGTCTGGATCTCCAGTGACAAAACAGGAAACATCACACAAACTACACACTGCTCAAGTCAGTGATTTGCATAAATTATAGCAGAATTAACAAAGAAGCTTTTAGAAAGTGTATTAAATATTTCGAGTGTGCAAAACCGAGCCTCCTCTTGGATCTCCCAATGCCCTTATGATCTCAAGTGTGTTTGTTTGTGTGCTTGACTTGTATGTTTGTGCCTCCTTCCCGTAGTTATAGTATGTACCTCTATCTCCTCTTATATATGTTGGGAGTTTTATTTGGTACGTAAAAATAAGTATATCTACTAAGTACTAGTAGCATTTATGTGAGAAATTATCTATTTTTTTTTTTTTAAAAGTGAACTCAAATTAAAGACAAACTAATAAAGTAGTATCTTTCCGTCCCAATTTATGTAACACATTTTGCTTTCTGAGATTTAAATTTTTTAATTATTATAATTTATTTGAACATAAAAACTTTAAGTTTTTTAAAATAAAATATAGATATTTGAAAACAACGTAAAAAAAATAACAATTGCGGTCAATTTTACTCTCGAAATCTAAATACCGTCTAAACCTATTACATGGATAATTACACGAAAAATCAGGAAAATTGCTCTCTCGCCAATGTATAAAATCTAGATTGGAGAAGTTATTGGAATGTATCACATCGCGTTGAAGGGGTCACATATGAATATTTGGAAGCAGAAGATAAAAAAGAAAAAGTGACTGTAGCGGCACATGACCTCGATAATGTCGTAGGTAAAGCAATTTCTGTCTCTTTCCTCTTCTTATCATTCATCGTTTTAGTCGAAAGAGTTGGTTAGCACTTCAGAAGTTGAATTGAGTTTCTTTTTTCACTCTGTGGACGCCAATTCTTGAAACATTGTACACCCACAAACTCCTTTCTTGCTCCTGTGTTCTTAATTACATTTAGAGACCCACCTTTCTGATCATTCAGTAAATAATCAAGCTGGAATCTTTTGGATATCCAAATAATTAGGGTTTCATATTGCTCTTCTAATACTTGGTCCACTTATCATAGTCCTTATTTGGTTAGCTTGAGCTTGAATAATCTTGCCTTACCCAGATTGATATAGGAGGAATATTTTAGTTTTATGACTCCTTTTTAGAATCTTTTGTGGATGTTTTAGTGGTGTAAGGCTGCGTACGATAGACCCTTGTGGTCCGGCCCTTCCCCGGAACCCGTGCATAGCGGGAGCTTAGTGCACCGGGCTGCCTTTTTGTAGATGTATTAGGCTTTGTTGCTACAGTTAAAATTTAACTCAAGAAACTCGACTATTAAGCTTTTGGGCTGAAGTTAACTAGGTGGACTTGGAGGTATTTTACTTGGTTGAGGTGAGAATGATGTGAATTAATGAGTTGTTGTGGTTGTGTCTATTGACCATCTTAAAAGGGAAAATGGATGGTTCTGTGCTGGCATCTTTTTCCCCTTTAATGAATAAGAATGTGAATATTATGCAAGCTTGTGTTTGGAGAAAACTTTTGGGTTTGTTTTTCTTGTAACAATTGTGCTCTGACTTGAGCTTTTAGCTTTCAGTGACCTAATTTTGATGCATTTTCCTACTTCTTTGCTTGTTTAATTTGATAATGAAGGGAAAAAGAAAAGTAGAACAATGCATATAATGCTTTTGTTCAGTTCAAGCTTTTAATTTTTGACGGTGGGCCCGTAGGATAAATATGAATCTATTCAAGAAACTTTTGTGCGTGGTGGTTATTTCCTAATCAAGTTTAATACAATTATCATGTGTGCACATTACTTCCTCCTTGTACTTGACTTGATTATCAGTAGTACCCTGAAACGCTTCTAGAAAGTGTATGTGAAGGAGTATGATCATCGTTAGATTTTTGTCATGTCTGAAAGGCAATCCTTGTTAATTGAATCCTTCTTAGTTAGTCCTCAAGTTTCAGAAAACAGGAATGAGAGCTTGATGGATGATGCATATCAGATATATTTTCCTCATTTCACGTACTATTTGATTCCCCGAGAACATAAAATGCTTTATTTTCCAATTTCTTTTCCTTGTTGTTTTCTATGTCTGGTGTCAAAATGGTGCACCATGAGTGCCTGAGATTGTTTCTGTTTATAGTTATTTCCATTTTGTGCTTCCTCTTGATTTCTTTTTCTGCTCCAAATATTCAGGAATGATGGATTATGGGCTTTTATAAGTCTGATGTGGCAATGGGGAGCCCATCTAGCCCTGCATTTGGTTTGGATGAAAGAAATTTTCCACCAGTTGAGAGCAATGATGATCATGATTATTTTGACGAAGAGCTCACAACAGACATGGATATGTATGTCGCTGAAGAAGATGATAAATGCTTAGGGCATTCAAATGGAGAACAAACACCAAGTGACGATGCTATTGAGCCACAGATTGGCATGGATTTCAACTCCAGAGATGATGCTAGAGACTTTTACATGGCATATGGCAGGCAGATAGGCTTTACTGTGCGGATTCATCATAATCGACGGTCTCGGATCAATAATGTGGTTATTGGACAGGATTTTGTCTGCTCGAAAGAAGGGTTTCGTGAGAAAAAATATATTCACAGGAAAGATAGAGTTCTTCCTCCGCCACCTGCAACTCGAGAAGGCTGTCCTGCCATTCTGAGAGTAGCTTTAAGGGAAAGCAAGTGGGTTGTCACAAAATTTGTAAAAGAGCATAATCACGCTTTAATGTCGCCGAGTAAAGTTCCGTGGCGAGGATCTACAAAAAAATTGGTCAGTCAGGTAAATGTTAATTAGCAACTAGGCATTCAACAGAATTATGTATGATGCATTTGACAAGTTACGGTTCTACTTATGAATGTCAATACACATACTAAGTTGACTGACAGCAGACCAGTTTCCCACGGAATTGACATTTGAGTTCATGTACTACAGCAAGCATACTTACATATACTTCTGTTATATATGTTTGAAAGAGGGAGAATGACTCGATTGGCAGGCCAATTTATCTGTGGTCTATTTTGTTTTTGCTACTAGGAAATGCACTATACAACAACAACAACAACATGCCCAGTGGATTCCCACAAGTGGGGTCTGGGGAGGGTAAGATGTACGCAGCCTTACCCCTTACCCCTATCCTGGAAGGGCAGAGAGACCTTTTCCGATAAGGAAATGCACTATGTTGGAACTTAATCATTCTGCTATTGCCCCTACTCAAAGCTGTTGAAATATCTTTTGCCTAAGTGATCTCTTTATTTCTGTGGGAGAATTCACCACACGTGATCTTATATATATTTTTTTTCAGTGACTTACGATTTTGCTTGTTTTAGGATGAGAAAGATCAAAGAATTCGAGAGCTGACCCTTGAACTTTATAATGAGAGGCAGCGATGTAAGCGGAGGTGTGCAGCTTACCAAGAACAACTGCAAACATTGTTGAAATTCATTGAGGATCACACTGATCATTTATCAAGAAGTGTTGAAGAAGCAGTCCAGCGAGTGAAAGAACTTGATGAACGGCTAGAGGAGTCAGATTAGCATCCCAATAGCTTGTACACATTTTTTTCCTTCTCTGATTCTAGCTTGTTACTTTAGGATAAGTAGGAGTTATTTCGATCTGGAGTTAAGCTACTTGAATGTAAGGGCCAAAGAAACTTTGTATTGTATTATCATTTGCAGAAACTTTGTATTTTCATCTGTTCGTCAACTACTTGGGACATGCTAAAGCCTAATAGATTAAGACTAGGGGAAAACAAAAAGAAATAGAGAGACCGTTGCTTTGCTTTCTTTTGAACTTGCATATATTGAGAGGAGAAAGATTATTATAGAAGTTTTGAGACTACACCTGCGGGGTGCATTGCAATCATTGTCTCATTTCTGCATTGACAATCATTCTGTCATTTCTCTATTTTTCACCAGACATGGAATCCAGACCATGATTGGATATACATTAATAGAAACCAAAATCATGAACCCTGTTTTTCCAATGACCTCACTTTCAGTCAATTGAGACTGAAAAATGTACAGTATACTGTAAATGACGAGATACAAGGCTTTGAACAACATCGAACTACCTTTGGTTAGCAGTAAAGACAAAAACAGGCTTGGTACTGCTTCTCGCAATACCATTGAAAAGCATTTCCAGCTGAAACATTTGAATCTCATACTCAAGCCTGGAGAGGAGGTAATCAACCTTTGAAAATTAGTAGTCTTATTCCCATACAAATCCTCCTAAATAAGACAAAAATCTAACCACAATGAAATTACACCAACCAGTGAGTACTCCCAATTAACTGATTATACAACCAGCAGGCGCTTTGCTATTCAAGCCCTTTCAGCTCCACCCTGGCTTCTGTGTCAAGTCAAATGAGTGCCAATCTTGTAATCCTTATTCACCAGAAGAGCTTGTCAGCCTGCTCTTCTCCACAGCCAATCTCTGTATTCTTGTTTAAGACCAATATGTAATCAGATTGTACACCATCTTTCTACTTCAGTATTTTGAAAAGAACTTGGACGGATACAAACAAACCACGGAGATGAACCTTACTAAAGTTGCTTCGTCTCACCTGTCAGAAGAACTGTTAACTTAATACTGGTCAATGAACCCTATTACAGTACAAAACCCATTGGGGAAGAGGGGTTCCTTGGCTAAAGGCTCTGCTCAACAGTTAATTTGTAGCCTGAGAATACCAAGTAAAGGTGACTGCTTACGCATATACAGGCATTCATCTCTTCTTTTTCTTCAAAAGTGATGTGGCTTGCAGAATCATCCTATCAACTTCATCAAGATCTGGTGTGTCCGCATCTTTACACAGAGATTTCTCTTTCCTCGAGTTGGAAGATATCTGACGCAAATGCTCCTCAAAATCCTGTTCTTCTCCGTTGCTGTGTACATGAAATTTTTCAAACTCATCCAAATAAAAAGGTTCTTCAATTTTGTCCTCATCCTCTTCGTCAGAGTCCGTTTCAAAAATATCTGAAAGATCTTCCGAATCTGAAACGATATCGGAATATGTTGTGGACTCACCTTCTTCACCTTGTTCATCATTTTCAATCATCATCTGTTTGAGCTTATTTGATGCCTCAGTTCGAAGGTCTGAACGATCTTCGTGGTTAGAATTCTCAGAGCCAAGCAAGTGTTTATCTTCAGGAGTACCACTTTTATTTTCAGCCTGCAGTCGAAGCAGCTCAAGATCCTGCTCAAGCCGCGGAATGTATCTCCTGACAGCTCTCAGGCCATCTCGATATTTAGATTTATCCAAGGCCTGTAGACAAGGAGTAATAACAAGAAAAACAGAAAGGAAGGGTTAAAGGCGGATAAATAAACAGTTAATATTCAGAAAATCCAGCAGAGGCAAACACTGCAAAATTGCATAATAAAAAAATAATAGATGCCTATGTAGAACCTTTTTCCTAGAAAGAGTACTTCTTGGAGACATTATTTCTGTTGGAGGTTGGGAGTAATTCTTCCCCCTGTACATTATAATGCTGTTGTCATCCTGTATATCAAGAACAATTCCACCACTTAATCTTGCAAGCTCTGCAGCAATTTCCTTAACCTCCTCCCGAGAGAATGTTTTGACCACCACTTTTAGAGTTTGGTGCTTCTTCCAGTGCAGGTGCATGTTAAGGATCACACCTTGGTATATCCCACGTCTTCCAACTGGCACATAATTCTTGGACTTCTCTCCCATTTTCAGAAAGTAAAAGTGTTCTTCTGGACTCAGTATCTCCGGGTCATGGGTAGCTTCTGACTTTTCCTTGGGCTCAACTTTCTTAAGAGCTTCAAGAAGCCTTTCCTCTTTCTTCCGTGCCTAAGAAGATTAGAATCGGCAACCTGGTAAGGACTTCAATAGTAATTAAGGGTACGCATATAACAAAGAGCAAGGTCCATCACATCCACATCATCATGACAGTTATATTGTATCACGAAAAACCAACATGTAATGAGTCATATAGTGGTTAAATCTTTACCATATCCGCGAAAGAGAAGAAACTCGGAGTCATAACAAATACAGTTATACCCTTGCAAAAGCTGAAATTTTTAGTTGGATTGAAACCATGCCACATTTTCCAATCAATGTAATAATGGCATCGCACCTAGTGTTGATGAAACCTATCTCATCCAATAATTATCAATAAAAGCGGACCTTAATTGACCACGAAATTCTCCTTGATATCAGAGATATTTTTTTATGGCGGTGGTGTTTGGACCCCTTGCACACACCTCGACTAATTCCACTGGGCACCTGCACCTCCCACCAACATGGGTAGCTTTACCTACCAAGGCTGGATAGATGGGAAAATAAACACTCTTTTTAATCACCTAGTGTTATCTTACTCAAAAATAAGAAATCACCTAGAGTCATTGCCTCTGCTGAGATTTGAACCTGAGACCGCGTAGTTCTCCCACTTCATTTATCACTAGGCCACACTTTTAGGCGCCATTTTTTTCTTCTTTTTTCCAAACATCTATATTATATTAAAAGGAGAGTAGTGAAGCATGTGGTTAAGCCAAGTGGCAAGCTAAAATGAAGCCACTTGGCAAGTTTAAGACAACATTAAAAATTTGAATTATAAATGGAAACATATTTAATGGAAGTAGTTTAAATGAATCTTATACATAATCTAAATCGATCTTAGAAAACTCTATTTATATATCCATATTTGTATTTATATTTATATTTGTATCTATATCTATTTATATCTATATATTGATCCAATCATAGATTTTCTTCTATGTTAGCTAGAAACAAGGGGATAAAAATTAATTAAAAACTATAATAAAAAAATAAAAAATATAAAAATACGTACATTGAGATAACCTATGACTATTTATATTTTGGAGTAAGTTAAAATATAAAATAAAACTAAAATTTACTTAATATGTTAAAGATTTATTGAGTTTAAAATTAAAAAAATTCAAGCAGCAAAATAAGATCTTACATAAAGTATACAAATTATTTATAAGTTAAGAAAAAAATTAAATAATCAGTAAAAGCTATTTTAATAACAAGAATGATAAAGTCATATTAATATTGATAAATCGGGCAAATAAATATTTTATGCATAAAATATTACAACGTTTAGATATAATGTGTTCAAAAAATTAAGAAAATATTTTTGTATGATTAATATTTGAATTGAGTGCTGTTAATTTAAGTTTGAAAGCATAACATAAATTTTTGGAAATACGGTCCAATTTAGAAAATAGAATGATAAAAATTATTTGAATTTGAGATGAGAAAGTTATTTAATTTTTATCTATATTATATTAGAATGAGTGAGGTAGAATACATATTAAATTCGAACAAGATAATAAAAATTCACATGACAGTGCAATAATATTAGGAATTGAATAATATAATATCAAAAATAAATAATAAATAGAGAAAATAATAAAAATTCAGATTTCTTATCATAGAGAAAAAGGGTAAAAACTAATTTAAATTTGAGATGAAAAAGTTTTTTATATTATGATAAGAAAAGTCATAATATGGATAAGTTCACGTAACTCAAGTCATAAAAATAAATTAGAGATAATAAGTGGATATTTATAATCATACGTTTATAAAATAAAATAAAGTAAATATACATAATTGAAAATGTTATTAAAAATTAAATAATTTGAAATTTTCAAGCAATGTTTTTAAAACAAAATAAATATTTATTTTATGATTAAAAAAATTATATATTTATCTATATTATATTAAAGAATAGAAGTTGATAATGATATTAAATAAAGTTACAAGTCAATGAAAAGTCACATAACGTAATAAGACTATATAATAGATTAAAAAAAATAGCAAAATTACGATTAAATTATTAAAGATTTACTATTAGAAATGAAAGGGAAAGACTATTTGAATTCGAGATTAGAAAGTTCTTAAAAGCCAAATTTGTATCAATAGATTACAAAATAAATGCACGTAATACAAAAAATAATTATAAGAAAAATCAATGGATTTGAAACATTATATATATATATATATATATAGATAGATAGATAGAGAGAGAGAGACTAATTCAACGTTATATTTTAAAATAAAATGTGATATGTATGTTCCCGATAGAGAACTATCAAATATAAGAAAAGTATCATACTTCAGTTTGAATTTTTAATTGAATAGAAAATTGAAATTCTGTTTATTTTGAGTATAGGTAAAGAAATTATGTATAAAGAGGAAATAGAGATAGTGCGAGGATACTTATATTTTTAAATTTATTAAAAATAAATAAATTAAATTATTAAATAGTAGTCAAAATATTATTAATACATTTAAATGATGAAAGAGATCCGAGTAAGTGGATAATAGTGTAAAAATACATTAAATTTCAAGAATAATTTTTTTTTCATTTATTGATGATTACTAAAAGGGTAATAAACAAGATTAATAAAAGATCACATTATAGTATTACAATATTAAGTAATAAAATAATGCAAAAACTATAAGCAAGGAACAAAAAAGAGAAAAAAAATTATATCTAAAAATGTAGAAGGATAAGGATATTTGAATTTGAGATGAAAAATAAAGTGGTAGTAAGAATTTTATTAAAATAATATAATTTAATGTGCTCAAACAAGACAGATCACAATGTTACATGTATAGATTCTTTAATATTGACCGTAAAATATAATACAAGTGTCAAAATCAAGGGGTTGGGTTATTACAGATATAGAAAAAGAAAACAAATTATCCACTATGAGATTTGAAAAATGATTTCATGTCCTGCTTCTTAATTAATATCAAAATTTAATTTATAATTTATAATTTATAAATAGAAGGTTTAATTTAAGGTTATTTGCACATAATTTAAATAACCCAAATCATAATTTGATATGTTTTATGTCCGCGCATCGCGCGGGTACTAATACTAGTTGGTTTTAATAGAAATTAATTTGTCAAGTGTGATTATTCTCAGCCTAAACCACAGCGTCCACCATTCAAAGAACTTTACATTTTTATACGTGTTGTTTCATTCCCCTTCCCCTGTTTAAAGTAATTAATTGATCTTATTAAATAAGCTTGACATGGATCACATAAGAATGGCTTACGAAATTATTGTAGGGACAAGGGACAAGATGAAAACAGTTTACATAGGCAAATTGACCATGTAGCTCATAGTTCACACAAGACACTGCCCATTGCCCAAGTTTCTGCTTATTTTATAGCATTTTCCAGTGCGCTTGACTGCTCAATTAGATGCAACAATGAAGTTTCTCTATTAAATAACAAATTTATACTATATACCAGCAACCTTTTGGAGCAATGTCAGGTTATAGCCTCAACTTATCTCAACAATAGGGAGGATTTAATTATAATTGTAGGGTGATACAGGATTCAAAGATAACATGCGAGGTGGTATAATTTCATGACTAAGACCATACATGGGTCATCGTCCTAGTCCACCTAAGACTTCCCTATGCGGATTAGAGCACGACATAACTCGAACATTCATTAAACATAAACTAGATTAATACTGAAAGTCTTCAGTGGGGGTATCAGGTGCTCGGTGATGTTAGTTTGGTAGTTAAATAGTTACATGTAAACAGCCCTAATCCCATATGTAGTAGCTGTAGGACATGTATTATATATAAATAGGACTCATTGTATCATTGTTAGAACATGTGAATAAAATATTCTCCCGTGCTTTCTCACATGGTATCAGAGTCGTGGTGGTGAGACACATCCGGGAACTAGAATACAGAGCCAGAAGTCACCGTGCTTCACTTTTCCAGCGACTTTTCAAGGTTGTTTGCGTCATCTCTCTCTCTCGTCAGGATTGTGAGTCGGGTCAACTCGGGAAACATACCCGAGCCTCCTTTCCTCGTAGTATTGAGAGTCATACAGAGTTTGTTTTTTCTTTAGTTCATTCTGATATATAGGGTCCTAGTAGAGTCAGTTCAACCTTGGGATGTCGTTATTTTGTTAGTTTCATTGATGATTATTCAAGATGTACTTGGCTTTTCTTAATGAAAGATCGTTCTGAGTTGTTTTCTATATTCTAGAATTTTTGTGCTGAAATCAAAAATCAATTTGGTGCTTCTATCCGCACTTTTCGCAGTGATAACGCCTTAGAAAATTTATCCTCTCAATTTCAGCAGTTTATGACTTCTAAAGGAATTATTCATCAGACCTCTTGTCCTTATACCCCTCAGCAAAATGGGGTTGCAGAGAGAAAGAATAGGCATCTCATTGAGAATGCTCACACACTTCTCATTGAATCTCATGTTCCGTTGCATTTTTTGGGGCGATGCAGTTCTCACAGCTTGTTATTTGGCTAATCGGATGCCTTTATCTCCCATCCAGAATCAGATTCCTTATTCAGTATTATTTCCCCAGTCACCCTTACTCTCTTCCCCCTCGTGTTTTTGGGAGCACTTATTTCGTTCATAACTTAGCCCCTGGGAAAGATAAGTTAGCTCCTCGTGCTCTCAAGTGTGTCTTCCTTGGTTATTCTCGTGTTCAGAAGGGATATCATTGTTACTCACCTGATCTTCGTAGGTACCTTATGTCAACTAACGTCACATTTTTTGAGTCTAAACCTTTCTTTACCTCTTCTGACCACCTTGATATATCCGAGGTCTTACCTATACCGACCTTTGAGGAGTTTACTATAGCTCCTCCTTCACCTTCCGCCACAGAAGTCTTACCCATTCCAACTGTTGGGGAGTCTAGTGTGGCTCCTCCTATAGATCCACAGCCACAAGAACACCACTCTTGACTTATCATCGCCGTCTGCGCCCAGCATCAGGCCCAGCTGATTCACGTCCTGCACCTGACCCTGCTCCTACTGCGGACTTGTCTCTCCC